CAATTCCTAATTTATACCACATGCTTAAGAAATAGCATTATCATAAAGGTTAAAGCAAACATTCCATAAAACTTCTAAAAACACACTGATATATTTGTTATCTGGCACAGGCACAGATTTATTTGACAATACAAAAGATATTTAGTATAGTAGTGGTAAATTGTCACTAAAGGTAATTTGAATTTCACTAAAGATAATATTTCTGCTTATCAAAAGTTTCTTAGGAAAAAATGGAGGCCAGCCATGTTCACGTGACAAAAGATTTCTGGTTATATGCATCTCATATATATATATAAATTCATAATTTAACAACCCAAGAAATAATCCAGCTTAAAAAAATGGGTTAGAGCCAGGCTTGATAGCACTTTAATCCCAGCAATTAGGAGAAAGAGGTAGGTGGATTTATGAGTTGGAGGCCAGCCAGTACTACATAGTGAGTTCCAGGCCAGCTGGGGCTACAGGAAGACCCTGTCTTCAGAAGAAAACAAAATGAAAAAACCACCACCAACAACTAAATGGTTAGAGACTTAAGTGGACATTTCACAAAGAAGTTGTAGGAATGGGTAATAAGAAAAACATATTTAACATCAGTAATCGGAGAAGACGTTGAAACAGCAAAGAACTGATGGTGTTAACCTGCCAAAAGCCTGAAGTTTAAAGACTGCGCAAGTAAATATGGCAGCAGAGTTTTCACATGTTACTGAGGAAATAGAAAAGGCTACAAAAGTCCTTTGATAATGTGCCACAGATTTAAATGTGAACTAACAGTTATTTATTGCCCAGGGTGAAAATGTCCTAGGAAAGATTTGCACGTGAACATTCATAGAAACTCCATTCATAGTGTCCCCAAACTAGAAAAAACCCAAGTGTCTAGTAATGAGAAATGAATAGTGTCTTACTAACTAAAACTAAATAAAAATGACTGTTTACGTAGATGTATAGTGAATCTCCAGAAATGCCAAGATGAATCCAGACACAAAAGAGAACATGCTATTTGGTTCCATCTCTGTGTAATTCCAGAGTAAGTAAAGTTGAAATCAGTGGTAGTGGTTGGGAACAGAGTACTTGTCTTGGGGAGATTGATGAGAATGGCACAGAGGAACCACCTAGGGTGATAGGTTTTCTATGTCATTAAGTCTTTCAAGATAGCTGTATGAATTTGCCAAAGCTGATTGTTCTCTATGCTTATGATTTGGGCATATCACTCTATGTCCATGATACTATAATGAAAAGGACGAAAACAATTGAAGTTATGTGGCTAGATTGTTGACTGTTACTGAGCAGTAATTGTGATTTTCTGTCCTTGTTCTCAAAATAGGTATAGTTTCAATTGTCTTGATACTTGATGATAAATATATGAACACAAGTGTTTTGATTAAATTCACTCTCTTAATCTGGCAAATTTTATTTCTGCTCATTTGATTTCCTTTGTGAGGATGTTTGAAAGAAACCTATAATAGATTGATTGATTTAGTAGTGTTAGGGATTTCATCCAGGGTCTTAAAATTGCTATTTTAGACTTTTTAACATTGGGCAGACCCCCAGCTGTAGGCATTTAAAACTGATTTTTAAAATTTTTTATTTTTATTTTATGTGTTTGAATGTTATGCCCGCATGTGCATAAGTCCATCTGTGTTATATAGTACCCGGGCAGGACAGAAGAAGACATCAAATCCCCTGGAACTGGCTGGTTGTTAACCATCATGTGGGTATTGGGTTTTGAACCTAGGTCTTCTGTGAGAGCAGTCAGTGCTCTTTACTGCTGAGCCATCTCTCCAGCACCCCCAAATAATTTTTTTCTTTTTCGGTCTTTTTGAGACGGTCTCCCTATATCCCCAGCTGGCCTGGAACTCACTACGCAGATCAGGCTGGTCTTGAACTCACAGAGATTTGCCTGCCTCTACCTCCTGAGCACTGGGATTAAAGGCATGCGCCACCATGCCCAGCACCCAAATGAAGTTTGTAAAATAAGATTTATTCATGTATTTAATTTGTGTGTGTGTATATGTGTGCCTGTCCGTGTTTTTCTGTTCTGCCTGCATGCAAGAGAGGGCATAAGATGGATCTCCTGGAACTAGAGTTACAGGTGCTTGTTAGCTATCATGTGTGGGTTCTGGGAACTGAACCTGGGTCCTCTGTAAGAGCACTAAGCACTCTTAACCACTGAGCCATCTCTCCAGCCCCAAGAGTGAAATTTTAAAGAAGCTGATATCAGGTATCACTTGAGGATTAATCTGATATAGAGCATTTGTTGTACCATGTGAGTATAGTATATGTCTAAGTGATTGGATTCCTTTAGGTAACATGTAGGGAGTTGTTGTCTTTATTGTACATTTTTTTTTATGTGTATGAGTGTTGTGCCTTCATGTATATAAGCGCATCCATTTCATGCAATGCCCGCGGAGGTCAGAAGAGGGTGTCGGATCCCCTGGAACTGGAGTTAGAGATGGTTGTTAGCCACCATGTGGGTGCTGGGATTTGAGCCTGGGTCTTCTGCAAGAACAGCCAGTGTTCTTAACCGCTGAGCCATCTCTCCAGCCCCTGTTGTACTTTTAAAAGACTGTTTTCTGAGTCAGGTATGGTTTTCTGAGCTTGTAGTCCATGCTACTCAGAAAATTGAAGTTGGAGAATCATTTGTGCCCAGGAGATAGAGACCTGCCTGGATGGCATATCAAGACCCTGTGTCACAATCAAAGACAAGCCACTTAGTCTTTCTTTTACTATAGAATAGTATAAAGAAAAACAACGTGACTTGTAATATTGTCTATGTAGTTATATTCTCTTTTAAAAAATTAATACATGCCTCAGGTAAGAATAGTCAGTTTATACAGAAAATTATAAAATAATAAGCTTCATGCTATTGATATTTTTTCCCAAGATAACCCTATTAAGCCTAATATGTCCTTGAAGAAAAGCTTAGTAGATATCAAAATATATATATGTGACTTTTCACTGTGACAAAATATCTGATAGAAGCAACTTAAAAGAGGGAGGATTTAGTTTGATTTGTGTGTTCAGGGGCTTGCAGTCCATCGTGACAAGAAAAGCCTGTGGCGAGACTCTGGCAGGGGGTTAGGAGTGTGAGTGATGTTTCATCAGTGGATGTGACCAGGGAGCAGAGTAAAGGACCAAAAGCAGGTGCTAAATTGGAGATAAAAATGTGAGACTTGTCAGGGGATATAGATGACAAGGTTGTCTAGTAAAAGTGGAAAAATTCTACATAGGGTCAAGCCCCAAGGAAGTATAATATTTAAAGGTTTGAGGAACAGGCAAGGAGTAAGAAAAGATGCTTGATACATAGGAGGCAAACTGGAAGTGTGGGATATTATGGACATCTAGTACTTTTGAGAGAGCAGTTGGAAAGGGACTGTGGCTAACAGCATCTAATGAATATTTAGTAGAAACTCCTGAGATATTCCTCCCCCTTTTTTTTTGGTCTTTTTGAGATAGGGTCTCCCTGTAGCCCCAGATGGCCTGGCACTCTCTATGTAGACCAAGCTAGCCTTGAACTCACAAAGATCCATTTGCGTCTGCCTCCCGAGTGCTGGGACTAAAGGCTTGGGTTACCATGCCTGGCCCTGAGATACCGTTTTAAGTGCTATGCTTTTTTTCTTTTTCTTTTTTAAAAATTTTCCATCTCTGCTGGGCATGGTGGCATATGCCTTTAATCCCAGCACTCAGGAAACAGAGGAAGGTGAATCTCTGAATTCAAAGCCAGTCTGGTCTACATCGCGAATTATAGGTCAGCTGGGGGTACAGGGAGAGACCCCATCTCAAAAAGACCAAAACAGTTTTCTTTTGATTGTGTGTTCTTTTTGAGACAAGGTCTCTTTGTAGTCCTAGCTGGCCTGGAACTCACCATGTAGACTAGGGTGGCCTTGAACTCAGAGATCTGCCTGCCTCTGCCTCCTGAGTGCTGGGGTTAAAAGTGTGCGCCACCATACCTGGCTTTGGTTTGATTTTTAAGTGTGTACGAGTGCTTTTCCTGCATGTATGTCAATGTACCCATGGTTGCCAGAAAAGGGGCATTGGATCCCCTGGAACTTGAGTTATAGACAGTTGTGAACTGCCATACAGGTGCTGAGAACTGAACCTTGGTCCTCTGGAAAAGCAGCTGGTGCTCCTTACTGCTGAACCATCTCTACAGCTCTGTGGGGATGGTGGTGGTGGTGCTTTTGACCCCTTGTGGAGATTGTGGCCCAGACAGCGAAGGGAAATTAAGAAAACATACAGCCTGTTAGCTTAGGGCAGCTTCCCTAACCTTTCTCTATAAAGCACAGTCCAGACAAGCTAATGTAATAGTAATCTTTCAGTACAGCTGGCAGGGACCAGCTCTTAGGAAATAGGGGTCTCTAGCAGCAAGATAAAAACATGAAGGTTTCTTTCATCCTCTTAAATATCATTCTTTTCCTTGGTGGTAGCACATTTTTTTTTTCCTTTTAAATTGATAATTGCCTCAAAATATTGCAGATTTCCCTAATTTGACCCTCTGTCTTCCTTTCCCATTCTTCTAAGAGACAGGGTCTTACTGTATAACCCAGGAGGCCTAGAGCTTTGAGTCCTCCTACCTCAGTCTCCTACATGCTGCGATGATGGGTGCCTGCCACTATGCCTGGCTTGTTTACTCCCTTCTGACTATGAATATTAGAATGTGAATGTTTCTAATTTGGGCCTCACACTATAGTCTTTGCAATACAATCTGTTGTAAACATGCAATCAGATGGTTGTGGCCGTGTTCCAATTAAACTTCACTTACAAAAACAAACTGGCCAGCAGCTATAGCTTGCTGACTACATGATATAAATGTTACCTGGTTATCATTGAAGCAATTCTTTTTGGTGACTTTTTTCAGATTTTCATTTTGCTTCATCTCAGATCTAGGCAGAGATACTCATTTTGTTAGTAGTGCCAGGAAGCAGGCAGTTTCCATGGTAACCGGCAGGCCGAGTTTACTGTGGAAATTTCCGGAATTAACAGAGCTGCATTGCAGAAGGATGCATAGAGCAGTATTCATCTAGAGATCTTCACGGTGTGGACACAGAAGAGCAATTGCAGTATATGCAGGGTATGTACTGTTTTTATTTTTGTCTAAGGTTGGTTAGCAGTTTTGTATATGCATATGCTGAGAGAATAAAAAAGCCTTGAGGCATTTGGTATAGCCTGGCTTGGTAAACTCAAGTTTGCTTAAGGGAAAAAGAAAGAATGATTTGGAAAGGAAGATTTGCTGATATCACTGGAGACAATTAAGATGAGCCAGTCTCTTTGAAGAAAATGGTGATGAATTGAGAAAGCATGCTTCAACTTCATTAGATAATACAAGGTTCTATGGAAGGTGGCTCTAGGCAAAAGATTTTTATTTTTTGAGAAATAAGGTTCTCATGTCTAGCAAGAAGAAATCTATTAAGGTAATTAGCTGTTACCTGATGAAAGATACGTACATAAGAGATGGCCAGTGTGTTAATAAGGAGAGATTTGCTGCCTTCTTAGTGCAGTTGACTAAATAATAAGAAAATTTAGGAAGGTTATCAGGTCTGTAATCTTGTTTCTTTTTTTAAGAAAAGCTCTGAAATGTATTATTTTTGGCATTATGTCTAGAAGTAAACTTGTAGGATTTAAGTAGATAATTGGGGTTTCTTATGGTGTGAAATTATAAATTTAAAAGAAAAAAGGATATAAAAATAATTAGATGTGCTTTAGATGCTTCTAACCAGGTAGCATTTATATTATGTAGTCAGCAAACTATAGCTCCTGGCCAGTTTTTGTAAGTGAAGTTTAATTGGAACACAGCCACAACAGCTGGTTGCCTGTTTTCAGAGATTGTATTGCAAAGATTGTATTGTGAGGCCTGAAATAAATTACTATATGATTCTGCATAGAAGAAGATTGAGACTCATGGTGTTCAATTCCTAGGCCTGCTGTAACAAATTGCTGTGACAAGAGTTGGTGGCTTAAAGTAATAGCAGTTTATTCTCTTACAGTACTAGAGTCCAGAAATCTAAAATCAGGATGCTGACTGGGCCATGTTTCTCCTGAAGGCGCTAAGGAGGCTCTTTCCTTCTCTCCTTCCTTTGGATGGTTCCAAGCTTTCCAGGGCTGTGGTAGCAAGCATCCCGCCTTTATCTTCACTTGATCACCTTCCCTGTCTTTGCCTCTTGTAAGGACTGTCACTGTATTGGAAATATTTGAAAAGTTATTTATGTGTATTGCAAAGAATTAAACAATAAGCAAGAGATTTAAGTATTTTGGATCGACCCTAATTCAATATGATCTCTTTTGCATGTGTGTTATTAGTGCAGCTGTGTCGTGCAGTGCCCACAGAGGTCAGAAGAGGGCATTGGATACCCTGGAACTGAAGCTAACAGATAGTTGTTATCTGCCAGTTGTTATCTGCCATGTGGGTGCTGGGAATTGAACCTGGGTCCTGTGCAAGAATAGCTAGTGCTGTTAACCACTGAGCCATCTCTCTAGTCCCCAGGTTTGGTTTCTTAAACTACATTCTGTGCTAAGGCTAGCCAGTTTCTGGCAAGTTTCCTTTGGCAATTTGTGGAGAATATATTTGCAGGAGACTTGGACTATTGGGAAAATATTAAACTCACTTTTCAAGCACAGTGCCATTTAGGCACAGTTAAACCATGGAGCATGGCCTTCATGAGACAAATGTGAGTATGAGAGTAGAGATAGTACTACAATGAATCCTCACTGAGAAGTACTAAAATTCATAGGAAACTGATGAAGACCCGTGCCTAAAACCTCATAGTTCTCTTATTTCTTTGTATCTTCCCTCAGCTCTCATCTCTCAATCCCTAAAAAGTAACAAGTAAATTTAGAAATGAAAAATGGAGGCAGTAAGAGTCAGAGTTACAAGGGATGAGACTCTGGTTATGGCATGGAAAACACACACACACAATGCAAAAGAAGTACTGTTTGAGTTTGTGCCCTGTTGCTGTGATAAAACACTGACCTAAACCAACTTAGAGAAAGAAAGAGTTTATTTGACTTACGGGTGATAGTCCATTATTGAGGCCACCCAAGCAGGAACCTGGAGGCAGGAATTGAAGCAGAGACCACTGAGGAACATTGCTTACTGGTTTGCTCCCATGTATATATTTAGGTGCCTTTCTTGGACAGCCCAGGTACAGTTGCCCAGAGGTGGTACTGCTCACAGTTTTCTAGGTCTTCCTACATCAATTAGCAATCAAGAAAATGCCCATAGATCACAGAGATAATTCCTATGTTGAGGGTCCCTCTTCACTGGTGTGTCAAGTTGACGACTGAACCTAACTCTGACATTCCACTCCTTGTCAACCTTGACACACACATCACTTTAAGTAATATCTTTCCTTTCTTGCTTGTCCTCAAGAATTCATGTTAATATATAAAATATAATACAACTTTAAAAGTCCCATTCCTTAAGAATTTTAATACTTTAAAATTTCAGTGTCTCTTTAAAATAATCCGAAGTTTCTTAAGGATTAAGAAATCCTTAAGCCTTAAGGGCGCCTCTAAAATAAAAGACAAGTTAAATACTCCTACTCCAAGAGGGAAGAACCAGGGAACAATCAGATCAAAACCAGATCAAAACTGAACAGTATGTCTGGCTCAGTGTCCACTGTATGGGACCTATTCATGATCTTCTGGGCTCCAAAGGGCTTAGGCAGCCCTACCCCTGAGGCTCTGCCATTCACAGCACACACAGCTTGTCTTGTAGGCTCCAACTGGCTCCATTCTACACCTGCCACTGTCCTTGTCAGACATCCCACTGTCCCGGCATCTCCAGTATCCTACTGTAACCGAGGCTGCACCTTTACCAAGACCTCTCTTGGCCTCTCACAGTGCCAAGCCTCAGCTGTTTTCTACAACCCCTTTGTGTCTTCAAAATCCTAACTATGTGGGAAAGACTCTTAGACATTGCCAAGTTCAGCTTCCATCTTGAGATGCATGCAGCCTTGGCCTTTCTGAACCTAAGCTTCTGTATACTGACCCTGAGGAAATAATCCTCAGAAGATTTTACCTCAGTAATGCTGGTTTCTTATTAATCACAGCTGATTCTTCCATTCTAGCTGTCCAGAAACCACCGATTTTTCATTCACAATATCTAAGAATGTTCCAGGCAGAGTCTTTGAGGGACTCTTAAACTTCCCTCTGAAACTTTACAAGTTAGGTCTCCATGATCTGCATTTTTCTTGACATTCTTCCAAGCTTCTCATAAGACCTCATTAAGCTCTGAACACACAATTGCTTTTCCAGCCCAAAGTTCTAAATGCTTTCACAGTCTATCCCCCAAACAGCGTTGTCGGGTCCATTGCAGCAATATTCCATTCTCTGGTACTAATTACTGATCTAGTTTGTAAACTAGACCAAGCACCAAATAAGTTAGTGGTAGAGGATGACCATGGTTGGTGTATACCTTTAATCCCAGCATTCAGGAAGCAGAGGCAGACTGATCTCTATGACATACATATCAGGTTCCAGGGCAGGTGGGGCTACAGGAAGACAAAACAAAGTTGATAAAGTGGCAGCATGTATGTACACACCAGTGTGCATGTATTAGAGCCCAAGATTTGGCTCTTGCTGGAGAATCTTGTATTGTGGGAATATATAAATAATCAACAGGCTACAGAGAAGGTCTGCAATGTTTTCTTGCTCTTATCATGTGGGCACATCTGTAAGCCATAGTCATAATAATAAATATCTATCCTTGTATTCCTATGGAAAAATTTAGTATATTTGGGTATATTTTGAAATGTTTGAAAATTGATACATATACTTATGGTGAAGGATCAAACAGTAAGCAAGAAATTCCAGTGTGGATGCTGGAACTGGAGAGAAAACACTCCTCACTTCTGTAATTTGATGGGTTAATGCCTGTAGCCTTAGCTGTACACGTTAAAATGTAATCTCTAATACAGACATATATTACTAGGGTTATAGGTTAGGTGTTTGCCATGAACTAGTGCATCTTGCTTCCTTCAGTCATTGATACAGTAAAGAAGCATGAAGCTTAGTACAGGATTTTCAGGGAGAGTTTTTTAGAAAGCAAGGCCAGGTGAAATCTTGGTTTCCTTTCTAGTTGAATTCTTAGTCTATAAATACATGTATACTGAATACCAAGTTGAGATGGTAGGAAGCCACTGGAATAATGTGTTTTTTTTCCTTTAACCAATCATTTGTATGTAATGTTGAATGCTTAAGCCTGAGTAGCTTTATAGATACATAAAAATTATCTTGAATCCAATAACAATTTTAACTTTTCTGTTGGAATTGTGAGCATTGGTTAGAATAGCCCAAGAAAATAGAATGAAGTCAGATTTATAGAATAGTTTGAAATTAAATTAAGCTTGTTGATCACAGTTTATGTATACAAGTGAAAATTTAAGCTATAATATAAGGTACTCAAAAAAGTGCAAAATTTTAATCTGTGACTGATATGATACAAAATACATGTTCATAAATGTACCTAAATAATATTTTATCCATCCATCCATCCCTCCATCCATCCCTCCATCCATCCCTCCCTCCATCCCTCCCTCCCTCCCTCCATCCATCCATCCATCCATCCACCCATCCATCCATCCATCCATCCATCCATCCATCCTTGAAACAAGTCTCATTATGTAGTAATGGCTGGCCTGGAACTCTCTTGAACTCACAGAGATCTACCTACCCCTGCCTCTGCCTCTTGAATGTTGGGATTAAAGGTATATACCACACCTGGAAATAAAATTTATTTCTATAAAATATTTTTCTTTTGATTTGTTTGAATGAATGTCCTTAAAATAATAGGTGCATTTTTGCGAATGTGGTTATTTCACAGGTAGGTAGGTGTTCAGAAGATAATTTACATAATTGAAAATATTTAAAAATTAGTTATAGAATGTTAATGAAAAGGAGTTGAGATTGTTTGTGTTTACTTGATTCAAGACTTCATATAACAATTTCAGGTGTATTTAAATGGCAATTTCCTGGTAACATTTATTAAGAAACAAGATGGAAATAAAATACAAAATACTGAGAATTGATACAAAGTTACTGAACTTTTTTTTCTTCTTCTTGCGACAGGTCTTGCTGTATATCCTAGGCTGACCTGCATCCTGTGATCCTCTTGCCTCAGCTACTCAAGTGCTGGCTTTACTGGTGTGTACCACCACACCTGGCTCCCAGGCTGACCTTTCTATAGGGTCTCTACTAACAATAGTACAACCAAATAAAACTCCCCAGGTTTTCTCTTAAAACAGAGACTTCCTGAGATAGGGCAGCCTCTTCTCTGTCATCCCTTTTTATGCTTGTCTGTTCTTTTCTCTAGGGGGAGAATGGATATTGAAACAATCTAGGAAGTGAAGTTGCTGTGAGTAAAATGTTGTAGGTGGAAGTAGAGGAGGATTGTGGTAGCAGTAGAGACCAGGACTTGTGCTTTAGTGTCTGCTAGTGTCAATTTAGAGTGTATTAGTAGAGTACAAGGAAACTGGAGGTGGGAGAATTTGCCATGGACAACTGGGACTCTCAAAGGTACTGTACTGGACCTTCAGTGTTTCACCTACCTTTGAACTAGAAGGAGTGGGGACCAAAAACAGTATTTTTTTTTGTCTATTTGAAGCAGGGTCTCCCTGTAGCCCCAGCTGTCCTGGCACTCACTATGTAGACCAGGCTAGCCTTGAACTCCACAGAGATCCTCCTGCCTCTGCCTCCCAAGTGCTGGGAATACAGGCGTGCGCCACCACGCCCAGCTTACTTTTACTTTTAACTTGATTGTCCTAATATATATGGTGTACAGTTTGCCCAGTTTTGACATGTATGTACCTCTGAAACTATTAGTGCAGTCAAGATAACACATTCACAACTCCCCAGATTTCCTCCTTTTATCACAGACTGCATGTTTGGGACTAGTTTTGGTTCTTTTTTTTAATCCTTTTCTCTTTTTTTGCTTCAGGTTTGCTGAGCCAGACAGCAGCTCAGGCAACCAGGGGCAGAGAGAGGCCTAGTTTTGGTTCTTTTGCATGTCTTTCATACCTATTTAGCACATTATATCCATCCTTTAGTTTCTTGAACACATGGAGTGCAGTTTCATTGTTCGTTTTTTATTTTGAGACAGGGTCTCCCAGTAGCCCCAACTGGCCTGGAACTCGCAGATACCGGAGTGCTGGGATTAAAGGCATG